AAGAACCTAATTAAGAACCTACTTAGCCTAAACTGTCAATAAGTACCCCATAATACAAGAACCTGTTTTGCCAAACTCTGAAAAAAGTAGGTTCTTACATGCGGGTTTTTACTGTATCCGTATGTGTAGTTCACATGTATATCTGAGCTGCACTGCAATAAGCAATGATGAAATACATGTCAGGGCTCGAAATTAACTTTTTTGTTTGGCAGCCAGCTGGCGACTAACGGAAAAATTTTGGTCGCCAGATCGTAAATTTTGGTCGCTAACTTATTTTATATATAACTTACACAAGAACTCGATTATATATGTTACTTTGCATGCAGGAAAAGTCACAACTGAAGAGCGAAAACAATTAGAAACAACACGAGTAACACTTAGTTATAAAGCTACCGTTGTTCTCGGGTGATATGTCTATGCTCCGAAGGTGATGGTTGTCTCCACAGTCATTTTAAATGAAGCGAAGCATAAAATGTTTTAAGTGCGTGGCTCTCATTGTGAGACAAACACGGGCCCTTGTGTATTTTCCCTTTGCTACTTCTTCGAAATGCCGTTCTTTATTTTGTACTTGCTTGTCTTGACGCCTTTTGCTCACGCAGTTCTTCAACTGATTGGTATCTGCCGCCATTTTCGCGGCAAATGAAAAGCACATGGCGTTGAAGTGCACCTGCCATCCCAGTTTCGGAAGAAGCCGCTGAAACAATATGGCGCGACGTGAACGCAGTATCGATGTGTCGAAATACATTCAATTTTTTTGATTATCATGTAATATTCAGACATTATTTAACTGGGGATGGAAAGGCAAGTTGTATACTAGCTACCATATCCGATTGATTTCCTCATATAAAGATTTAAAAACAAAAGTTGTGTTGTGGTTTTCTTTAGCTGTCGGACAAAACGCGAGTTGCCAGCTGGCGACAAGTTCTGAAAATTTAGTCGCCAGTGCTCAATTTTTTGTCGCATTGGCGACCAGTGAGTTGCAATTTCGAGCCCTGCATGTACTGTTTTACTATCACCTCTGTTAAAATTTTGGCTTTTAGTGTTGAATTATGACTGCCAAAATAAAATTAAAAATGGGCTTTTACCATTTACATGACTTTATTTGTGATTTTTGTAAGTTTCCTCTGTTGAAATCTTCCAAAATTTTCACAGTACATCAAATCCACAGGGAAGTGAATTTTAAACACGAAGTAGGTAGGGTCGACAGTTTGTTTGATTTTTGCAAATTTATGTCTTTTTACTTCTGCGGAAAAACTGGTCAATTAGATTTCCCGGAAAAATGACCTCCAACCAAAGCAAAACATTATTTTATCGCCAGTCTACCAAATTTTTCGGAATTTCACCAAAGGAAACGAGAGAAAATTCACTGACAGTTTTCCTTTTTGTGCCCATGTTGCCTGGCTTGAGAAAAGTGCCGTCCGGTCATCAGAGACAAGTAGATTTTCCTTCTGGGCAAGTAACATTTCATTGCCACTTACCCAATGGGCAAAGGATCAAATTGTGCAACCGTTAGAACGTGTTCTTCATCCGTTAGGCATACTTAGTTAGCCGTTAGAACGTTAGGAGAGAGCGTTAGAACGCTTTGATCATCCATNTTTTGACGAAATTCGAGGTGTTTGGATAGCCGATGAAACACTGTCTCGAGTGTTTGATATGTCTTCTCAATCGAAACAAAAACTAAGGAGAAAATGGAGAAGTAAAATCGTCAATATCTATGCTAATTAAGAACGGGTATCCAAACCTCCTTCACGGTTGCGATTTTCATTGTTTTAACTTGATGAATTATTAATGAGTTTCAGAAGTTTTTCCAAACCCTGTGTCGATGTCATAAAATATAAAAAGACACTTACTTTTCCTACATGTAAGAGTCTGTGCAGATTATAAGCTTGTCATCTCAGCGTATGTGTGATCGTAAAACTATATGGAGCCACCATAAGTTTCTGTTTCATTAATACACTGTTTTTTTATATATGTTAGAATACACATTTTTTGAAAAAAATATTGCATAACTGAAACAAGCAGGTGTCATATTACACCCCTATCTCCCCATAACAGCCACCTCTCTACAATGGCCACTTTCCTCTCTCCCCAAGGTGGCCATTGTGTAAAAGTTCAACTGTAATTGTGTTACAAGAGTTTAACTCCAGACCAGGCTTTCAGCCAGGATTCAAAAGTGGGTGTCCAAAATGCGCTATAGGACCTGCTCAAATGAACATTTATAAGGCAACATGAGAAAAATAGAACAATTTTCTTTAAAAAGTGGCCGTCCACAGGATGACTGGATGCCCATCTGGTTACAAACCTACTCCACACCAACAATTTGGATGCAAAGCATGATACTTTTTTGATATTGTTAGAAGTACATGTAGATCAGTATTTGAAAACTGTTTCTTCAAAACAGGGCTTGAAAAAAACTTGAATTCTAGCTTGCCCTTCGGACAAGCAGCTCTCAAATCTTGCTTGCCCTGGTCAAGACATGGGTTACTTTATTTTATTTAGTTGGAAGACGAGTTGCCTGGGTCCTTACTTTTTGGGCCAGTAAGATCTACCCAACAGGAAAATCTTCTTGTCGAGGACGACAAGAAAATACCTATTCAAGATCCTTCAAAGTTCTACAAGTGTCTCCAAACACACAACATGCAGCTCAAGCCTCAAGACTGCATTCTTGTTTCACAAAAGAAAATGTCAACTTACATTTGACTAGTACTGTACTGTTAGTGCCAGATGGAAAACATGGTCAGTTTGAGTAACTATAAAATAAGGCATGTGACCAACCTATGGCAGCCAGATTCTTCTCTCGCATAGCAAGCTTCTGTTCAACCCACTCTTGTGCTTCTTTCAAGGATTGTTTCTGCATGTGCAAATAATTTCATTACACGTGTACAGTAAACTGCTTGACATTCATGCATGACCAGGTAATTCCCACCATTTTTCCCTTCTTTTGAACAGAACTCTACAACTCCACTCGGCTGACATTTCAACTGATTGTTGACTGCTTTAGAAGCATTCCAAGGAATTATAATAGTTATTATACTGTGTGCAAAGTACAACCAAATTTCATTACAATCAGTTGAAAACAATCAGCTGCAGAGCAAATGAATTTTCCTAGTAGCATCCAGGCTTTTCAAAATGAGCTGGCACCTGATGCAAGTCACCAGCTCCTTCAAAGACTTGCATGGACTATACACCTATATTACTTTTTGTATTTCAACATTTATTATCAATACCCAGTCGTGTACAATGTACATGAATACACCTTGTGAAGAAGTACATGTTACAAATGAACAGGTGCAAAAATCAACAGTCTGGCTATTTTATGTATCATCCTTTTTGAACTTGGAAGCAGGAAGAATTTTTGGCAGGTATTCTGTTCTCAATGTACAATTTATACATGTATCAGATTCCTAGGCAAATACATTTTCCATGACTCTCACTCACATCACAGGTTTATCAAGATTTTCAAGCTGCTGTGCAGTTTTCATTTTCAGTTTTCAGTTTTAATGTCAGTGATAAATGATCTACATTGTAATCTGTGTATTATAGTTAACTGCGCTCAGTCAAATAAATACATGTAGATTTGATACGGTTTGATTTGATTAACAAAAGCTAATCTGGTTTTGTTTAATTTGTTAATAACCCATATGCATGTTGATGTCAGCCGTGCTAATTTCACCACCAAGCTTCGTTTGTGTTTTGCATTTTCATTCTTTGTGTGTGAGAATTCTTTTCAACTACACCAGTGGTGGATCTAGGGGAGGGGCCCCCCTTATTTTGGGTGGAAAAAGAAGAAATGACTGAAATAAGAAAAGCTGCCAGGGCAAGTAAAACAAAAGCGTGCCCCTCCCCCTCCCCCTTAGCTCAAAGTCTGGATCTGCCGCTGTACACTGCACTAGGAATTCGCTGTTGTAAAACTTTTAAGTTTACAATTCCAAAACGAGGCTTGGTGGTGAAATTTGCAGGTCTGGCGTAAACATGCTTATGGCCTATTTAAGTAGATTAATACAACCACTAAAGACTGCATAATATTCAGTTTATATAACACAGCAAAATCAGTTGTTATTCGTAGCATGTTATGAACTACATGTACATGTACTTGAGCATACCATTTCTTCCTCTTCTTTTCTTAGCTCCTCTTCGTCCTCCTCTTCCTTCCCTTTGTTACTGTCCACATTGCCTGTGTCCTTAAAAATACAAATTATGACACTGTCTTGAATGAAATCCCATTGCATTGTTCCTGAAAATTATTAATATCTACATGTACATTGTATACCTTTCCCACAAAAGATGTTTTGGTCATGGTTAAGACTCCCCTCAATCCAAACTCAGAATTCCCAAGGATCTTCTATCTGTATTTCATTAGACCAGACAATAAACCAGCCCATCTAACTTTATGAAATGACTACTATACCCATTGATCAATAAACAATCAGTTACACTGTACTTGGTATCAGCTTCAAATATCCACTGGACCTCAAATAAAGTATGTGAAATATACAACAAGTGCATTGAATTAATATTTGACCTTTCCTTGTGGACACAGCATTTATCAGCCTGGTATTCCTTTGGACCTGGATGTTCCCAAAAAACAATAGGAAGACATTGTAAATTTTACCTTATCATCCCTGCACTCATTAATGGCAGCCTTCATCTCCTCCTCGCTGAAATGAAAACAAATTGCTTAATTATTACTTTTTACAGGACATGAGGCAAAAGTCATATTCTGGTGATGATCATGTTTGCCAGACAGATACAGTAACTCATTAATAAATGTACATCAGCCAGGCAAAATGGTAATAAGGGGAATCAGTTTTTCACCACAGCAAAGAAAATTAAATAACTGCACTTGCTTAGAAACACTCAAAGACCCCTTTCCAGGCTATAGGTCTTCTGATTGATCTGGATTACAACACCCTGTCCATAAGTCACTGCGCCTCTACAAGCGAATATATAAAAGATCATATATTTGAACTGCAGAGAAAGATACATGTATAAGACGTGATTGATAATTGAAGTTATACACACAACTTGCTGTGAAAAATTTTAAAGCCTGAAAAAAAAAAAAAATTCAGGCTTGAACGGGATTTAATTTCATAACTGCTTAAACTGTGTATATAACTGTGATAATCAGTCGTAGATTCACTGCACCTCTGTTCAAATCTCTTTGTTTGAAACAAAAGCTGTCCATCTTAAAACACATGTCTGACATAGGTCAGGTTACATAGCACGTCGAAAGATGGCGTGTTGAAAGATAGTCGCTATGCACATAACTCTGAAAGCAGGTGTAACATGATTGCAAGTGCTGAAGTTGTTTTCGTTTCTTCCTAGGGTTACTTGCATCATTTTTGCTAGAGCGACTAATTCTGACATCTGGCAAGCGATCACAGCGCATACTACCTAGTCTTGGAGAAACTGAAGTAAGCCACCTTAAAATGGACATTTCACTTGGTCAAAAAGTGCCTTGCATTAACGTCCAGAAATGAACTTGCTTTACCCTCCTCCAACCCCGTCAAAAAAAAAAAAAAATTGTCCAGTTGCAATAAGCAGTGAACCCTAACCCTAACCCTAACCCTGACCCTTAACAAAATGATCCACTGCCAACAAAGGCCCAGCAGGTTATTATTGTAGTGGCTCTTGAACACTCCACATACAGGTTGTAAAATTCACTATTTTTTGAAGCTAACCTTTGGAACCATTTTCTTCTATGCTGTAAGTCTTTTAAAAGACCTGTTTACTGGCTTTCTCTATACTTAACCCTTACATCCTCATGGTAATCCACTATGGCTTCTTTTTCTTATTACTTCTTTAACAACTTAAATATACAAATAAATAAAGCTTAAACCCCAGCTCAGAAATAAACCATCTTTACTAAGTTGCAATATACCTTCTCCTTTGATGCATTACAAATCTCCTACGTAAAATTTAGGTTCGAGTACAGTCACACTTGAAATGATCCAATTAGTACAATAAACACAGCATGTATAATCGTTTATTTTAAAATCGAAACTGTTTTGAAAATGAAAACACATCGAGAGTAGATTACTCCAAAGTAATTTTTCGTGCTTATAAACTTTGTTTAATATATACATGTAAAGCTTGGAATATACCAGGAACCAGCATTAGCAACTTTACTACCCTTTCCATGAATAAAAATAACCTTTACCGTTATATTTTTTCATTTTATCCTGGTAAACCAACTGCTAAGCTGTGGAAAATTCAGCCAGTAAACGGAAATGAGGCGAACTGCTGCAGTTGATACGATCAATTTGAGTCACCTTACAACATGTTCAGCTGTTTCTTGTTGAACTAGGCCTGGCCGTATACGCACATTATTAGACTTTGGGTTAAACGCTACATTAATCCGTTAAATACCTTTTGGCTTTCTCCATACTTGTACCAGTTTCATTTTCTGGAGTCGGGCTGATAAAATTTTGGGCTTTCTCTTTCTTTACTTTGTCTGAGCTTTCCACCGCTTCGCGCGTACAATTTCGCACCACGCACTTTTTGCCTCCAGAAATTTGCTCCGCTTCCCCACATTCTGCCTTGCTTTTTTCCTCATTCATGGACGATCAATAACGCTTTCTTTCCTTTCGACATCGAGGGAAAAGTGGGTCAATGCGCTAGTAAAGGAAAGTTATCATCCGCCATCTTTTTAACGCCTCCGCAGTCAAGCTTTCCGTGAGTTATTCAGCTTTCGTGACCTGGTGCTGTGTTAGACACCAGACTCTTTTCATTATTTTCCTTGACAACGGTCATCGTTCCCAGAGCTTCTCGGTTTTCATTTTGAAGTTCACACAATGAAAACGGTGCGGAGCATCTCGCTAATAATGATGACAAAAACGGTTATTTTTTTTCTTTTGTACACCAAAAAAAGAAAAGAAACTGACTACTGACTCTACATTAGTGTGTGTGTGTGGGGGGGGGGNGGGATGGGTAAAAGGGACGGGGGTGCTCTTCTACCTGTTAGGGGTTAAAAACGCGCAGCGGGTGAGCCGGACAAAAATGACAGGAGATAATGTGTTGCTTTTGAATTGGTACCTCTTAGGGGTGAAAAAAAATTCAAGCTACGCCCACAAAACATGTACAGGATCTTGGTACCTCTTGCGGATTCTTTTCAAAACTTCCGACGAACACCCCCGTCCACTTTTTCCCCATTAGAGTTGAAAGAGGATCTCAATTGGGCTAACCGTTAGCTGTAAGACGGGCAAAATATTTAGCTGCTGGGCGTAAAAATTGGAAAATTTTAGCCGTTAGACGTAAAACATAGGTAAAAAAGGCGCGCAAAAGTAATTTTTTTTTGTGAATTAAAAGCCCCTGGAGGTCGCAGCACTCAGTGGACTCTTCTTAACAGTTATGACAGGGTTAATCCAAAAAGTTTGTTTGGTTTCGATGTACAGCAAAAAAACGTATAATTTTCTCACCTTAGGAAACGTGATATCAAGCCTACTTTTATCAAGGTTTGATTTTAACAATCGATTAGTGGCTTTGTTTATTAGAACTACATGGAACTGTCCCCAGCAAGACTGTCTGTGATAGTATAGCTAACGGTAAACAGAAGATTGGTGTTGAATCTGGATAATTTTTCTGACTAACTTTATAACAAAAACCATTATAATTTTAAGATCGTCACGCAATAGCATGGTCTTATTCTATTGCCAGCAATGATCGTAGTTTTTTTCGTTTTTTTTTTTTTTTTTTCGGTTTTGATATGCCACGAAACTACTTCAAATACCGTAAATGTCGACTTCAAAACTCATTTAAACAAGACGAAATTATTGAAGGTAAACAGTGTTAGCAAACTTGAGACTTGGAACAACCAGTAGTACCCTTGGATCAGAAGACGTGAGTTCTTCCAATCCTTAAACTGGGACCAACTTGAACAACGAAACATCAAGCCATCCTGGAATACAAAGAAAGACTTTTGCTTAAGTAAGCATTCTTTTAAAACAAACAAATTTACATACATACTGTAAACTATGGCCGGAAGGTTTTGATGTGATTCTAAACGAGATGAGATATAGCCAGTCATTCTGTCACAGTTGCAAAGGTGGCATTTTAATTTATCTTTCTTTGACAGCAAAAAGGGGTGTTTTGCTATTTCTTTGTTCCTATGTAGTTCAAGAAACTGCCTTCCCTGCTGATGGTTTTGTCTCATTCAGTTGTTGTTGTTTTTGTTTTGTTTTGTTTTGTTTTGTTTTGATTTTTTCAAATAAAAGGAAGGAGAAGAGGAAGAAGACAAAACTATTAGCAGGAAAAAAATTGATCAAAATGTAAGCATGAATGCCAGTCGGCTTAAGAGCCTGTCTGTGTGTCTGAGTGGATGTACATGCGTGTGTTTGTCTGAACATTGCGTCGTCAATTTGATATCACAACCTAGTGCATGAGTTATCCATTATATACTTTGTTTTATAGCTTCGGTGCACTTATTTACCACTTTCTTTTAAAAATTAGTTATCCATCAGCATTAAGGTTTTGAAATATTCACGACAGTTCCCTTTAGCCGCTGCATTTGCCAACGTTTTGAAGGATTCTGTCACTCATAATACAAGCTATAGGTGACACTATTTTAGACTCTTTTTAGGCGATTCTGTTGTATAAAATGGCTGAAACAATTTTAGTTGCTGGTCCAATCTCTGGGTTCTAAGAATTCAACCAACCATCAATGAATCAGCCAATCAATCAATTTACTTATTAATTAAGTCGTGATCTATGTTTGCGGGTGTGAAGCAAAATGCCGAAAAAGGGAAGTCCTCTACTGCCTCTGAGTGTTCCCATGTGAGTTTTTGTGCTTTCACTTCTTCCTCTGCTTCATCTGTTTCCACAGCAGTCATTAGGGATGAAGATTTCTCTCGTTCCATTTCAGTGACGGACAAAACTGTTAACCCTCAAAAAAAATAAATAAATAAAACGTGCTCTTCTGTGACAATGCCTTGCCTGACAGACTGTGGACTAATTTCAACTATGTTCGGATCAATTTTTCTGGGGAAAAGTAACGCTACCAGATTTTCAGGCTTTATATCACAAAGACGACATACGAACAAAGTCACAAACTCTAATAACAGACGCAAAAGTTCAGTTTCCTCACATTTTGTACTAGCCTTGATTGAAGAAAGACGAAAAATCCTCATGATCAGTTAAATTAGAGTTTTACCTTCGGGTGAGCACTTCATTCCGCCCTTCGGAAACGGCTCTAAAATTCTGCACAATTGCGCAAACACTGGGTATTTTCCATCTTTCCCTTCAATGATGGAAAAAAAATACAACCATTGGATGTAACAATGTATAGAGGACTCGATTTAATGTTTTACAATAGCTGTTTCATTTCTCGCGCGCTGATTGGCTCATTTTTATCATCAATAAAAGAACGGACGGATAAAATTTTAATTTAAGCGAAATCAACTTTCGGCTGTGAAAGGTAGATACAGCGGTGAAACTATTAGGCTCATTAGTGATATAATGGAGCAAACTAAGAAAATCAATTGCTCTGTTATATTACTGTCGCTAGATTTTCAGAAAGCTTTCGATACTTTAGAATAGTCATGCATAAGCAATGTATTAAAGATGTATAACTTTGGTTATAGCTTAAGAAATTGGATAAAGGTACTTTATACGGAAGTAGAGAGTACAGTGCTTAACAATGGTTACGCAACAAATTGGTTTAAACCATCCACCGAAGTAAGGCAAGGATGTCCACTTTCACCGTATCTGTTGATCCTAACTGCAGAACTAATGTCTAACAAAATTCGCCAAAGTATAGATTTCAAGGGAATTTCTGTGTTTGAAAAGGAAATTAAAGTCAGTCAGTAATTTGCTGATGACACCAACCTTTTTTTGTGCCAATCTGTCTTCTGTGGAAAAAGGATTGCAAATTGTAGTAGATTTTGGTGCAATTTATGGTCTTAAGTTAAATATAAAGAAAACTAAAGCTGTGTGGCTGGGGAAATGGGCGAATAATAAGAGCAAGCCGTTACATTTAAAATGGGTTAGTAGCCCAACTAGAATTTTGGGTATTTACTTTTCCTACGACGAGAAAGGAAACAATGAAATGAATTTCAACCTTAAGATGAATAAACTACAAGCAAAGTTAGACATATGGAGATCACAAGATTTAACACTACTTGGTAAAACCATGATAATCAAGGCGCTTGGGATATCATCTTTAATATATTCAGCTTCAAACATCAATGTACCAAACGATATTGCCGGCAACGTCAAGAGAAGGCTGTTTTGTTTTCAGTGGAAAAATAAAAGGGACAAAAATAAAAAGAGAGGGATTATACCAGGATTATGATAACGGTGGGCTGCGTATGACAGACATCGAAACCCTGATTAAAGCGTTGAGGTTAGCATGGATTCCGAGGCTATTGCAAAATCAAATTGGAAATTTGCTCCAGATCATTTTTTAAGAACTTATGGAGGACTTCGGTTTCTTTTGACGTGTAATTATCGCGCAAAGGACTTTGAAAATATGCTCCTATTTTACAAGGACATCCTCCTGTATTTTCATGAACTGAAGACTCTTTATGGATGTGATGTGGGAGATACAATCCTATTTAATAATAAGGAAATTTGCATCGAAGGTAAAACTTTTTTCTGGAAGGAATGGTTTTACGAAAGGCATTAAAAGAATTGAAAATCTTTTAGAAGAGAAGGGGGAAGTCCTCCCCTTTCCAGTCTTTCAGCGCGAATATTCGTTGAAGACAACTTCCTTCCTTCACTATTACCAAGTTATTTCTGCTATTCCAGGTCACCTCCTGACAAAAGCAAAATCCAAGGATTTAACATCTGAAAGTATTAGTCCATAAGGACCCGAAATCCTTCCGTCTAACTGAAAATGTAAATATAAATTTGCTTAAGGCAAAGTCAAAAGACTTCAAATGGCTAATTATTCATCGGAAATATAACGATAATCATGCAGGCCCAAGGCGATGGAACAAAACTATTATAGAAGACAAAGCAAATTGTGGGAACATATTTAGGTCGGTCCGACAAGTATGCCAGGAAAACAATTTAAGAGAATTCCACTTCAAATTCATTCACAGAGTTGTTGTCACAAAGACTGAACTGTTCTGACTTAACATCAAACCATGTAGCAATTGCGTTTCATGATTGTGGGGAATCAAACTCCATAAATCATACCTTTATTGAGTGCTAGATCACAAAATCCTTTACTCAAGAAGTATTACAATGGTGCAATGTAAATGATAGTTCTAATTTCATTCTAAATGCTGAAAATGTTCTCTTTGGCTTTTTCTCTGCATCAAACACACTAACAAAGAAATTGAATTATACTCTTCTCTTCTTGCACTATCATATTTATAAATGTAAGCTCCAAAATAGCTCACCACCACTACAGATCATTGATTTTATCAACAAAATAAAATACAAGTATAAAACCGAAAAGATTAATTAATGTTTTACACCGCAAAGTTCTTCCTCTTCTCCTTATTTCTCTTTCTCTATGTAGATTTTAAATAACAAGGGAATTACTGTAGATTAAAACACTATATATGTTTACAGTTTAGAGTTGTCAAAAAAAATGTAAGTAGTGCTAGTGTTAATTACTTATGTAAATTTTTTTGTGCGTGCAAAACCAATAAAAATTTGAAAAAAAAAAAAAATTTCGGCTGTCAAACTGTCAACTTCTTAACCAATGAGATTTTATTGACTATTTTAAGTAGCCAATC